CAACATACAGCAGCTCCCCAGGCCATGGGCACCATGAGCAGTGCCTGTTGTAGTTATAGTAGTTGTAGTACTAGCAGTATTAGTAGTAGTACTTAGCGGCCTCAGCAGAGTTATAGACATGCCGGGCCAGATCACTGGGGAAACAGCTCCTTCCAGCAAAGGAAAAGCCTACCAAGTGTAACTGACATTAAAAAGGGCCACCTTCATAATTTTGCAAGTATGTTAAACTCTTTACCAAGCAGTCAGCTATTCCTTTGTGCAGCTCTAAAAATGTAATGCTGGGATTTGATACAGTTGCCCTTCAAATACCCCAGGTAAAGGGAGCTGAGTGCTTTGATTCCAGGGAAACCGTGAGTAAGTATTAAGAGAAGTATGCTGCTATGTAGCAGTTCCGTAGTTAGTCGAGCATTCTTCCTTTCTGCCATGGAGGGAGAAGACTTGCACGTGGAAGAGAACATGGTGTTCCTGCACAGGGACTCACCACTGACCAGAATCATGTGCGACAGGGAGCAGGAGGGCCCTGATGGCAGGGAGCCAGGTGAGGGCAAAGCAGCCCTCCCACAGCCTGGCCCAGGGGCTGTCGGGGTGGCCAGCGTGGGGGCAAAGCAGAGGCCGGGGCAGGCAGAAGCTGCTCAGCCAGGCCAGGGCTGGGAGCCTCCTTCCTCCTCAAGTGGGGCCCAGCTGGGCCAGGGGGCAGCTGTTGGGAGCCCCGTGCCCGCAATGGCCGCTGCTCTCCAAGGCCTCCAGCCCTGCCCATCAGCCAGGCACGCAGGCAGGGACAGAGCAGCCCTTGGGGCCGATGCTGCGGGCTGAGAGCCCCACAGAGCTGCTCATGCCCGCTGCCATTGCCTCTGTCCCCTGCAGCATGCCTGTTGTGTCGTTGTGTAAAGGCCGACCCCTGCGTTTCCCCAGGCCCTGGCAAGTGCCCCTGTGCTGCTCCTGCATTGCCCAGGGCACCCACAGGTGTTGCTCGTGCCTGACAGCGACCAGAACCAGCGCCGAGTGTGACAGCTCTGTTGCTCTGGGCACGGCTGTCAGGCCAAGCCCCCTTTTGGGCTTGGCAGAGCCCGTAGGCTCCTGGAGGGCTGGGGGCACTGCTCCGGCCCAGCCTGGCCCAGGCCTGGGAGGCCTTTGACATTGCTGATTGCCCTCACAGCCTCCAGGGCTGAGCCGGAGCTCAATGGCCCCAGCCTGACCGGACAGTCTGGACTGGAGCCTTCCCGTGGCTCCCCGGAACCCGAGAGCATCAGCGCCAGCTCAGAAACACTGCCTAACTGGGTTTGCCAATATTGTTTCTTGTTAGATCCTTGAAAGGATTTAAAAGGTAAAGTTGTTTGGCAACTTCTTCAAGGAACAAATAGGACACGATTCTTTTCAAGAAAGGGTTTATTAGTTTGGGTTCAGTTTCCGTTTGGAATTCTTATGCTTCCTTAGACGATCCAGAAATTAATGAAAATCTAACATATTCCTAGGAGAAGTTTTTGAATCCACTACTCGCAGAAGTCTCTAAATTCACTGTTTCTCTTAAACACTTGCCTTACATCTAGTTAGCTAGCTGCTCCTGTAACATACAGAGATGCAGTGGTTTACCTGGCTGG